TTCCACTAGGAAACCTCCCTGTAATGATGGGGCTTGGTTATGGGTTGTTATGAACGCTTATTGCTCACATCCTACCATTTTTTAACTTTCTTTTTGTCTGTCTCTCTCTTGATCCTGGCTGTACGTTGGAATTACCAGGACAGTTTAAAAAATACTAATGTTGGGGCTCTACTCTCCAGAGATTTCAAGTTAACTAATAGAATTGGGTGCTGGTCTTCAGTAGTTTGTAAGTTCTCTAGGTGACCCTAATGTGCAACCAGGTATGAGAACAGGGTTCCATCAGAAGCTTCTTGGGGCAGGGGTCCTCTCTGTTATTCAAAATGTATCACTTCACACTGAAAGGCTCAAATGTTTAAGTGCACTGAATAAATCAATGCTGCAGTTTCTATAAGGGAGGCAGGAGCCATGGAAGACAAAAAATGACGCATACCAAGTATACATTGGGGAGCAAGTTAGAAACAATCTGTGGATTTTGAGGGATGCAATTCAGCTCATACAGGCATCTTAATACGTCTAGTCTATAAGGTGACAAGGAATGAATCAAAGTTAAAGCTGGGCCTCCCTGATGGCCCAAGGGGTTAAGTCTCAGCACTGTGAAGCTATTGCAGCCACTGCAGTACGAGTTCGATCCCCGGCGAGGGAGCTGATACACATGGCTCAGCAGACCTCCTCTGTCTCGCCTGCTGCTCCCCTCAGCAGTGTATTTCAGTAGATCTGCCTGTTCTTCTTCCTACTCTGTCACCCTCACCCCACACCTCTGGCCTACACCCCAGCTCTTGTATGCATAAATAGATAAATCTAAAAAAAATTAGAAAATAAAGTTAGAGCTGGGATTGGTAAAGGAGCAACTGTCACTCATTAACAAAGTAGGAAGAAATCTAGCCCTTCCTGTGGTTTGGACAAGGTCCATGTTTTGTCTGTATTAAGATGTGATTATGGAGTGATACTGTTTTTGCCTTCATCCATCACAGTCACAGGGTGATCTAGTGAGATGCTGATAATCTGTGAAATTGCTTATGTTCAGCAGAACACCAAGGCCTGGCTGTGGCTGTTGCCAGCTTGTAGCAACACCAAGACCTTACTGATGGAACCAGGCCAGCTCCTGGCTCTCAGAGGATGTTTTCTTTTTCTCAGGATCTAGGTATGAACAGTGAGCCTGTTATACAAACACATAATACTTAGGCTTTTGGTGTCAACACTGGGTGACCAAGGGAATGTGGCAAAACTCCATTTCCCTTCCTGGGATGAATGGAGCCTGAAGACCTAGAAGTGCAGGAAGTTGGTGTTTCCACCACTAAATTAGTTCAGGTCTCCTGCTGCTCACCTGGAGCACATGCCCTGATGGAGGAGTGCCATGCCAGGATACCTGGGAATTGCTGGGCACCCCAATTTACCATAGGTTACCTACTGCTGTGGGACAAATGGCCACAAACTCCTTGGTTTAAAATAACGCACATTAATTATTTCACAGTTTCTCTGGGCAAGGAGTTGAGGCATGAAGTCTTCAGTGGGTCATGTGCTCAGGGTAGGGAGCAGAGTTACCGTCAAGGTGTTGCTCAGAAACAGGTTCTCATCAGAGGTTCAACTGGGGAAGGTTCTCCTTCTGAGCTTGCTCAGGTTGTTGGCAGAATTCATTTTCTTGTGGGAGTAGGATTCATGGAAACTTGTTTCTTCAAAGACAGTAATGGAGAGAGACACTCTAGCAAGAGCAGCACTACAGCCTTACAGAATCACCTGCAAGTAATCCCAGACTTTCTACCACTTTTGCCCTATTCCTTTGTTTAGAAACAAGTTGCAGATCTTGCACACACCCAAGGAAAGGAAATTAAACAAAATTGTAAATACCAGGAGGCGGTATCATGGGGCCTGCCCGCCACTCATAAGCTTTCCATAGCAGCTTGGGAAATCTGAAGAGTGTGAAGTGATTAAGGTCTTAGATAGCCGCAGCAGGGCAAGGCAGGGTAAGAACACAGTGTGGTTGAAGTCACGGCAAATCCTCTGTGTACCCTAAAAGCTTTGTTTTTGAGGGAAGATCTGATTTTTAGGAAAGAGCAGAAAGGCATCCAGGGTATAAAAACTTCAGGTGATTGCTATGAAGGGGACAAGCCACAAGGTTTGTGTAAATTAGGAAGCCAGGACTAGGGGTACAAAAGAACTGAGGATTAAGTGGACCCAAAGAGGGTTGCCAGGAATATCAACCATTTATGAAAGAGAGACAGAAAGAAGCAGAAATATCCAACACTCTGGCAGTGGGATGCAAAAGGTGTGGACCAAGAACGATACCTAAGTGAGGGAGCTCAACTAGACACAAGCGATGCTGAGAGGAAGAGAGGAGGGTACATGGATATTTAGCATTTCTTTCTTGACCAAGGAGGGGAAGCCAGGAAAGACTTCAGCCTAGATGTTTTTAGAAGGCCACCAAGGATCGTACCACCTCAGCAAGACTGCCACCTGGTCTGAGGCAGTACCATGGAGTGAGGGGAACTCAGGAATGCGTGTGCAGATGCTCACCTCCACCCTTCCTTGGGTGGGACAGAGACAGTAGAATCTCTCATTTCCCTGGGGACCACCCTCTTACAGAGACAGTGCATGTAGACTAGATGTGATTCTATTGAATGTTTGGACACTGTGCTTTTCAGAATAACTTCTCTTTACCAGTGGGGCTGGCTAAGACAGGGAATCCCACCTTAAAAAAAAAATGTTAGAATCGAACAAAGTTATTCATACACTAGATATTTCAAACTCTGTGCCTGACCATATCTTGGGTCATAAAACAAGTCTCAATAAACTGAAAATGACTGCAGTTACACAGAATATGTTCTCTGACTACAATGCAATAGATTAGAAATGAATAACAGCAAGTAATCAAGGAAAACTTTGTAATTTGGAAATTAAGCAACATACTTTGAAACAAGCCATGGTCAGAGAAAAATATTACTAGGAAAATATAAAGTATCTCCGACTGAATGATAAAGACAATACAACTTTCAAACTTTGTGCAATGCATCTAAAGCAGTGTAGAGAGGGAATTTATAGCTTTCAAAGTTTTTATTAGACAAGAAGAAAGGTTTAAAGTCATTGATCTAAGGTTCTACCTTAAAAATCTAGAAAAAGAGGGCCTCCCCGGCCCAGCGGTTGAGCGGTTGCCAAGCTGCCCGCAGCGTCTGCAGCCGGTTCGGCTGCTCCCAATTCACCGGAGGAGGGTCCCACATGGCGCGCAGGCCTCTCCTGCCGCCCGCTGCTCCCCTCAGCAGTGTGCTTCCGTCCTTCTGCCTGCTCTGCTGCCCGCTCTGGCCTGGTGAATTCTCTCACCCTCCCGCGCTTCTGACTGTACCCAGTGCTTGTATCAAATAATAAATAAATAAATAAATTCTTAAAAAAAATCTAGAAAAAGAAGTCAGTAGAAGGAATGAAATAAAGAGCAGGAGTCAGCAAAATAGAAAAGAGACAAGCAATAAGAGAAAATTAACAAACTCAGTTACGTTTTGTGACATTAATTCCTCCTCCATTTCTCTCTAGTCAAAGCTCATTGGTTGAGAATTCATTTGGAATGGAGAAAGAGTATGAAATAATAGTTAACAACTTCTTTTTTTGAGTTCCTCATGCTTGATGTTTGGGAAAGAGTGTCATTTCTTCAGGCGACTGCTATGAAGGACAAGTCACACAGGTCTGTGCGACTAGAGTAGAATGTCTTTTTGTCAGTAGGTGGCGCTGCGGGCACCTTGAAAAGGACAGGCTGCGTTCTGGGGCGCTGGGGGGACCAATTGAAACGAGGGAGTCACCGAAGACAAGAGAGAGAACCCCAGAAAGCAAATCCTCAAAGTGGTAGAAGTGGAGAAGTTACCGATTTCACAAAAACATCTGAAGCCTAGACGTCTGAGTTTTCAAAGCTGGGGATTCCTAAAGCTAGGGGTTCTTTACTGCAGTACCCAGTTGGGCTTCTCAGTCTCAGAGAAATTTCTCCCATTGTATGGAAATGAACCCCCTCCATCAGTTCAGAGTCTCCTTCAGAGTCTAAAAATAGACTGGGACTTAAAACAATTATGACTCCGGGCTACAAATGCCCCATTACAACACCACTCAGAAGTTAATCACGTGTAAGTTCAGATTGTAAAGGTAGGTGATAAAATGCACTCACGACTTGGAGAGAGATGGGAGAGGCCTGCTATAGCTAGTAACATTTGCAATATTTTCTTCCTGAAGGATCAAGGCTCTGAAAAGCCCCTTGGGATGGAAAGGACGCAAACACGTTTCGCAGGCCTCCAATGTGCGCCATTTCGAAAAACAAATGTCCACATTTTAAATCTTTGCAACAATCCTTCAAGTGTGGAGATAACATCCTTTCTATTATTCCCCTGAATCCCTTACGAGGGCAATTAATGGAGTGCGGTTTTTGTGGTTCCGGACTCCAAGTGGATACCCACACGTCTGTTCCTCTCTTTTATAGACAGATCTTCCATACGACTTCCTTTGTTAAAAATGAACTTTCCTTTAAACATAGCGTTTCGCTTGTTTCTTTGATCCACCTCTTCCCATTCAGAATTGACAGCGTGAGCACAGAAGGGCAGCAGCCAGCACAATTTTAGGCTGAATGGAGATGGCAGCGCTGGACTCCACTCTCCCCTTCTCTGCGGCCCACGAGGTGGCCGGCGGCCGGGGCAGGGTTTGCGCGGGAGGAGCGGGGCGCCTGGGCTCCCGCGGCCGCCTCGGTGCAGGGCTGACCTGCCGCTGCGGGGCAGCGAGGCGGGGCTTTGGGGGGGTCCGGGCCAGGTCCCACGTGGCCACTGCCGCCGGGATCCCCGGGCCCCGCCCGGAGGCGGCCGCGCGAACTGCAGAGGGAGCAGGCTAGAGGCGCGGGGCAGCGGGCGAGCGCCCCCCGGCCCCCCTCATCCTCAGCCCCCCAGCCCGTCTGCCATGGCCGACTCGCGGGGAGTCCGCTGCCCGGCCGCTACGGGCTAGCGGGGCGGGGCGGCCACGGCTCCCTCCCGCTCTCGCTCCGCGTCCCGGGCCTCGGAGCCGCTGGAAGGAGGATGAGTCCCTGGAGCTGGTTCCTGCTGCCGACCCTGTGTCTCCTGCGCTCGGGCGCAGCCCCCCGGCGCGGCGCTGTCGCCTCTGCCAACTGCGACCTCAAGCCCCAAGTAAGGCACGCGTCGGGCGCGGGCGAGGTGCTCCCGGAACCCCCCGGGGTGGCTGCTCCCCGACTCTGGGAGCAGCGCGCTCGGACCCCGAGCCGACTCTGGGCGCCGACTCCCACCTCCCTCGGCCGCGCCTCCCAGCTCGCGCGTCCCGGCTTGGCCCTGGAACCCCCTTCTGGGAGCGCAGCTCTCCAGCCGCTGGAGACCCGGTTCCCCAGTCCTCGCTCTTAGTTGATCCAAGGGGTTCTGGGCAAGGACCCCTGGTCTCGCCAGTCTGCTTCGCGGGCATTCGCTGGACGAATCAGTGAAGACCCAGGGGGGCCGGGACTTGGGCGCATTTACTTCGAACGTTTGTTCTGCCGTCTCTTCCCTAGAATTTAATTTCTCTTGCTCATGTGGAAATACCAAAAGCATCTTGCAGATGCATGATTTAACCTCTGTTTACTCAACGCCTGAGTTAGATGGACTTGGGGGAACCACTACCCTGTTTTACCGATCTGGGAAACTGAGGCACAGAGACCTTCGTGCTACAGGTCAGGGAGCTGGCTCTCCGAGTGACTACCTTTGACAGCCTCGCGTTTAAGCTAAGGGAGCATCCTTAGACTTTTGCGAGAGAGTTTTGAAGGGTGAGAGAATCCTAAGTGAGGGAGGCCGGTGACCTGCCTGTATCCAGCCAGCCCTGTTGGAGCAGAAACCTAGCGGAGATCGTCTCCCAGACTGTACTGCTTTCGAGATGAATGTTTCCTTCTGATCAGTTTTCTTTATCTCAGAATTTTCTGTGGTTTTCAAATCCCTCACTTTTGAACGTAGTGGAGGTTTTGTGCCTTTCTACCACTGGGTCACATCTCTGTGGATCCATGATGCTGGGGAGGGTTATGGAAGTTTGTACTCTGGGTGGCCTATGAGCTCTTGGACACAGGATGGTATTTAGGGGTTGACCCACCATTGGTGACACCTGCTCAGCATACGGACCCGACCCATTTCTGAATTTTGGTAATTTTTTTTTATCCTCCAACCTACAGCAAAGGAGAGGGTAACCTAACAACCTTTCCTGGCTCCTGGGTTGCACACTGTGCCCCAAGGCACCCTGGGCTGTGGACACACGGAGGCTCTCCCTCTAGAATGACAGGAGTCTGGTTGTGGGGACAGGAAGGGGTGAGGGAGGGCAGTCATCACCTGGGTAATTTAAAGCCTGCTGTGCAGAGGCTTTATGCTCTGTATGACAAGTAGCAGCTGTCAACTCATGTAAGAGCAGAATGTCTTTCACTATAGCAAAATCTATTACCAACTTGTAATTATATTGTGATGGGACAGTCTTGGTAGTTTTCTCTCCTTTCTTCAATTTGTCCTCAACAGCACTCAAACTTTTGGGTCTCTGAGCACCTTGGCATTCTAAAACAGTATTGAGGACTCTGGAGAACTTTTATTTAGGTGCATTAGGGCAAATACGAGTGAAACACAAAAATACACAAGTATACAGGCCTTTAATTGTCAGAGTGCTGTTATTACATGTCTGTAGCCTCTAGAAAGTTCTATTTGTACACTTGTGAGAGAATAAGTATGAAAGAGAAAAATATCTTAGTAGTATTATGAAAATAGCTTTGGCTTTCCAGACTCCTTGACAGGGTCTTGGGGACATGCACATGTCACTGGATCACACTTTGAGTCACTGTTCTGTCCGTGGGACTGTCTCCTCCCCTGCAAGGTGGGTCAGAAGGCCCGTCAGTGGCAGGGCTGTGTGCTTGAACTGTGTGCCCTGACGGCACTGTCCTGGGCCTCTCCAGGGCTGCAGTGCTGACACCATACAGCGAAGCTCTGAATCCAGCCTCCACCCGCTGCAGCTGCTTCTACAGCATCCTGGAGGCACTGTGGCTGAGAGTTGGCTTGGTTTTCAACTTTTGTTAATCATTAGAGGTCTTCTCGGCGGAAGTCTGTCTTTAGACACTGCAAGCTTTACCCCAGCACCACACAGATGGAATCTCTTCCTTATCAATACTCAAACAGAACTCTTGCGTGCTCTTTACTATTCCTGCCTGAGCTCTTTTACACTTGCTATTTCTTCCCCCAGACACCCATATGCTCGCTCCTTTACTTCCATCTGGTTTTTGCTCAAGTGTCTCTCAATGAGACCCTTTCTGATTATCCTGTTAAACATTATGTCAAGCCCCTCCATCTGCCTTCCCTGCTTTATTTTTCTCTGTAGCACTTAACTACTGTCTGATAAAAAGTTTTATTTCTTGCTCTCCCCATCCCCGCGTGCTCTTCTGTTTATTTTGTTTGCTGCTCTCTCCCCAGGGTCCAGAAGAGTACCACAGGAGATGTGCAATGAAAGGCTGACTCAAGTCAGTTTACTTTAGTATCCTTCTGGCTGACCTGCTGAAATGTACAACTGGACAAGTGCAGTGGTCCGGGGCCCTGGGATGCCAGGGAACTGAGTGCTCCCTTGTTTCATTGCAAGGGACACACACACACACACACACACACACACACACACACACACACACTTAAAATCTCTGGTGATCTAGGTGACAGAACTTGTCCTGTCTTTCTCAGAATGATTGCAGTGAGGTTTTGAGGGACATACCAATCATGTTGTTTTATCTTTTAAATCATCATAATGTTAAAATAAATGGCTTCCTCTAGTAGCATGTGGTGACTACGGTTATAGTGAACTGGGGTAATAGAGCAGTTGGTGGGATTTTTTGGTGTATATGTGGACAAACAGCCCTAGCCCTGAGGGTGTCAATATGAGGGAGGCAGGGATGGTTGCATCTGTGTGATTGGTGATTAGTGGGGGCATTCCTGGGGGCAAAGGCCAGGAAATCCTTAATCAGAAGCCCTGACAACTCCTCTTGCAGCTTGTGCCTTCCCCAAGGCATGGCCCGTGGGGGTGTCAGTGTTCTGCACGAGTGGTTGCTGGTGCAGTGTGAGGCAGGGTGCAGACCGCACTCCATTTATTGAAGGAGCTTGATGATATCAGGCTTATTTCTTTAAAAACACTTAACACTCATGGCTTAAAACAAGTGGACAACCCCCTACCCTCATTGTGTTCTCTTGAAAAGAGGGAGTGGGGAAAAGATGGCAGTTTGAGGATGTAAAGATGTCAATGTGGATTTATCTGGGCAGGTCATCAGGGCTTGGGCAGGGGAGCTGGACAGAGTCTCACCTGGGAGTCAGGTCTTGCACCTGAGCAACAGTGAATGTAACAGAGTATTTATTGAAAGAGATGTGGCTCTGAGCCACAGATAAAATCTGTTGCATGTTAAGGCCAAAGAATGTGGTGCTTGAAGCTGGGATCTCAGGAGCCAGCGTGCCTGATTTCAAATCCTGGATCTACCACTTAATAGTTATGAGACCTTGTGCAACATAATTAGCATCTCAAGGCTTCTGTTTCTTCATCTGGAAAAGGCCATTATCTTATTTATTTGTTTGTCCTCCAAATTCTTCTCATTCTCTCCTGCATGGGCCCTGGGCATGCTTTCACCCTTGCCATGCCACAAAATTGTTCTTGTCCAGGTCCCCAGTAACTGAAGTGCTGTTGCCTCTAAAGGTCTGTTGTCAGCGCATCAGCCCCTTTGGCTCATTGAGCCTACTTGCTTCCTTCTCTTAAAATGCTCTTGTTGGGCCTCTCTGGTGGCGCAAGGGGATAAGTCTCAGATTACGAAGCTATCCGTAGCCACTGCAGCACAACTTTGATCCTTGGCCAGGGAGCTACCCACGTGGTGCAGCAGACCTCTCCCGCTCCCCTCAGCAGTGTTTTTCAGTCAGTCTGCCTGTTCTGCTCCCCATTCTGTCTCTGGTGAATCCTCTTACTCCCCATACCTCTGGCCTGTACCCCAGTTCTTGTATTCATAAATAAATAAATCTTTAAAAACAAAACAAAACAAAACAAAACAAAAACCAAACCACTCTTGTTGATTGCCGTCCTCTTCTGATTTTCCTAATAATCTCACTGGTCACTTTCTATTCTCTTTTGCTGACTGCTCTTCTTTCCTTTGACTTGGCAAAGTAGTACCTTTGCTAGACCTTTCGGTCCTGTTTACCCTTAGTCCCTTGGAAATCTCATCTAGTCCCATGGTTTTAAATAACATTTAAATGGTGATCATGCCTTCCTTTTTATTTCTGCAAACTCTAGACTCACACATTTACTCATCAACTCAACTTCCTCACTTGGTTGTCTGCTTGACATGTCAACTCAACAGTTGACCTAACCCAAAACTTCTAACCTACTTCTTGAATCCTGTTCGACCCCGTTCTCTCTATCTCAGTCAATGGCAACTTCTTCCATTTAATTAACTGATTCATCAGCAAATTCTGTTAGCTCTGACTTTCAGAGGCAATCCAGAATCTGATCACGTCTCTTCAATTCTGTCATTGCCACTCTGTTCTCTCACTTGAATCATATCTGTAACTTCCTAACTGGCCTTCTTGTATCTGCCCTCATCCTTTAATCATCTGTTCATCACAGGGCCTCCCGTGGTGGCGCAGTGGTTGAGCGCTGGGCTGCGAGGTTGCCCGCAGCCTCTGCAGCGCCGGTTCGTTCCCTGGCCGCCGGCGAGGGTCCCACAAAAAAAAAAAAAAAAAAAAAAAAAAAAAAAAATCATCTGTTCATCACAGCAGCCAGAGTGATCTGGTAACACATCATGTCACTCTTCTCATAAAAGCAACAGCTCTCATCCTACTCAACACAAAAGCCTGAGCTCTTCCAATAACCAGCAGGCACAGTGTGGTCTGGTCTCCCTCACCTCTCTGATCTCTGTCTCCTGTGTTCCTCTTCAGTCATCCCATTGCAGCCCTGCAGACCTCCTTTAAAATTTTTTCTTTTGTATTTTACCTTATAGGCAGGCCTCCTTGAGGCTCCTCCAACACATCAGAGGGCCTCTTGCCTCAGGGCCTTTGCACTGCTATTCCCTCTTACTCGAGGGGATATTCTCTCAGATAGGCCCATGGTTTGCCCTCTCACCTTCTTCTCAGCGAGGCTTAAATATACTACCTCCAAGGATATCCAAGGACTTTCCTGCATACCCAATGTGAGAGCACCTCTGTAACTACTCTCTTTCCTGTTTCACATTCTCCACAGCAATTCTCATTAATGTACCTGAGGCAGGTATTGTGCTTCATTCACTTCTGTATTCCGCATCCTAGAACACACTAGCGCCTGGCACCTAGAGACGCAGATGCGGTGGGACCACCCTCATGCAGTGACAGGATGAGGCCTGGCTCCAAGGACCATTGCTATCAGCCGGTTACGCTTGTGTCATTATTATTATTGCAAGGCTGTTTTTTAAAGTCTAAGCAGTTTCCAATGAAAAGATCATACCATGACCCCATTTCTAGATATCAAATGATATCAAATGAAAAAGCAACAATTAAATAATAAGATGAAAATGGATGTGTATGTTTGAACAGACTGTTTCTAAAGAAGGTAGAGGAATTTTGAGGCGGGATGGGTGGATTTAAGGTAGATTCAGTGTACCGGATAAAAACAAACCAAGACCAAACCAAACAAGCAATGTCTCCCCTCTCCCTCCCAACCCCATAACTCTGCATAAAGGGTTTCGTTTTCCTGGGAGTATATTGGTTTAATATCATGGTCTTCTGATAGATGACTATGAACTAGGTGCCCAGAGGTTTAACAGGAACTTTTCAGCTCTTTGCCACATCACCTAGTTGGAAACAGTCCTCAAGTAGACTGCACGAAACTTATGCCACCAAATGGCTTGGCTAGGTCAATGGGACCCAGTAATATCACCACTCAGGGCTCCTTTGATCATCAACTCTTCCACATAAGAAAAACAAAAGAGGGCCTCCTTGGTGGCGCAGGCCGTTGAGCACCACACTGTGAAGCTGTCCGCAGCCTCTGCGGCGCAGGTTTGATCCCCGCTGGCCGGCGAGATACCCACATGGTGCAGCAGACCTCTCCTGTCTTGCCCTCTACTCCCCTCAGCAGTGTATTTCGTCAGTCGGCCTGTTCTGTTCCCCACTCTGTCTCTGGTGAATCCTCTCACCCTCCCGCGCATCCATTTATAAATGGATAAATCTTAAAAAAAAAAAAAAGAAAGACAAAAGAACCAAACTATACCTATGGTTGAAAGGTCACCTTTAGCCAACCAGTTGCATTTACGGGTAATTATTTTGTTATCTTTTTAAATTAACTGAAGTCATAGCTATCAATCTCAGCTTTTGATTAGCATCTAACCAGGGTTTATCTACCAGCTTGATCTAACCCACAGCAAGACATTTGATCGCTTAGACTTGGCAGCCATTTTTGGGTAGACAGTTTTACAGTTTTAATTTGACTTTTAAAACTATTTAAATAACTCTCATCACTACATAAATGATGCCTGAGGACTGGCTGAATACCCTGTACATGATTCATCCGTTAATATGAATAGGTATTTAAATTTATCTTTTAAATGCCTCCTTTCATTCATTCAGTCACTTAACAATTACCTATCTAATTTGTCTCTCCCATATTCTGTAAAAGAGGTTGTGATCTAACTTTTATAGATGAAGAAACTGTCTGACATATAGAGAAGTGAAGTGGCTTTTAAAAATCTTGGTGGGCTACCGGAGACAAAAGCAGAATTTAAGCTACTTTTGCCCAATTAGTGTATTCTTGAAAAGGTGGGTATATGAGCAGAACTGCATTTAAATATCTAAAAAACAAGGTCTCAGGCTGGGGGCCTGGTGTTTAAGAAAACCGAGGCAACATTTTCCATTTGGAAGATTCTCATTTCTTTTGAAAAAGATTTCTCATTTCATTTGAGAACCCCATTCTGGAATACCAGGCCTGCTCCCATGTGGCCGGCACTGGCTTGGGCTGCTTACTCAGTCTCCATTATTGAGAGTTAGGAGCTCCTTTGCTGCTCGAGAACCCTAGCAGAGTAAACACCTCCAGTCCATGTGTTTACCTGCCTGCTCTGCCCTCACCTGAGTGGTTTTGTGGTCAGGTGGCAAAGGGGGTAGTTATAGAAGAGAAGGTTGAAGGGTAGGAGTGGGTCCCTATTTCCACCAGATCCACTTTCATGGGTCCTATATTTTGATTTCTTTGCCATATTTCATTTGAAATCAGGTTGCTGCCACCAAATAATAATGCACAAATGCAAATACAATAGATTTTCATTACTTGTGGATTCCACATTTGAGAATTTATCTGCTTTCTAAAATTGATTTGTAACCCAAAATAAATACTTGCGGTGCTTTCATGGTTATTTGCAGACATGTTTAGAATTTCAAAAAATTTGAGTCACCCCATGTGCACATCCTCAGCCGAGGCTGAGCAAGTCCACGACACCCTGACTTCTTGGTTCAGCTCTCAGATCTTAAGTGTCCTTTTGGTAGTCTACTTACTGCCATGTTTTTGGCACTTTGTGTTCCTGTAGGAGAGTTCACTGTTCAAAATGGCCTCAAGTGTAGCACTGAAGTGTTATCTAGGGTCCCTGAACACAGAAGGCTGATCTGAGCCTTTGGAAAAGGTACTTGTGTTAGACGAACTTTATTCAGGCATGAGTTATAGTGACTTGTGAGTTCAATGTTAGTGAATCAACAAAATCTATTAAAAAAGTTTCTTGTCAGCACAAGTACATATCTATATCGATGTGCACTGTTGTTGGTGAAACTGTTGTGACCAGAGTCTTGAAGGAAACTATGTCTCCCCTGGGAACAATAATAGTTCAGTATTCAATAATACAGTGCTCATGGTGACTTTATAGCACATAACTATGACAAATAATGAGAATTGCTTGTCAACTGAAACCACACAACAAAGTGTGTTATATAAAAAGTGGATGAAATGAAAGACTTTTGCAAGGGGTACACACTCCAAATCTTTCTTGTCTATAAACCAGTTTTTGCTTGCATGATGCATGACTCAACCATGTGTGTATCTGACTTTTATACTTGTACTGGCTTTTGAACTTGAGGGCTGTCTTGTACTCTTCTCTGGACAGGGCCTCTTAATACCTGGACCCTTCATAGATGCCTCTGCCTAGACTAAGAGACACTTAGGATTAAGGGGCAAAATGCTGTGACCTCAGGTAGACGCACACCACTGCTCAGCCTGTAAAACCACAAGGAAGAGAATCTCCGTCATTGAACCAGGAGGCTTTTGTGAGAAAGAAATTCAATAGGATCATTCACATCTGATAAGGCCAAGAGTGAACTGTGAGATCAGGGTCTCATTAAGTTTGTGGTGTCCAGCTTGACTCCAGATTAGAATAACTAGAGGAGCTTTAAAAATAGCACCTCTGAAGCCACCTCAACAGAGCCTGGTGTGATTGGTCTGGGGTGGAACCCATATGCTATCGAACTTTTAGAAGCTTTGCAGGTGATTGCCATGTGCAGCCAGAGTTGAGAACTTCTGCCTTTGGGAAGGTTGGATTTCAGATCTGAAGAAGCTGAGACCATCAGGTCTGCCTGGGAGGTAACAGTGGGCTCTTCAGCTGTTCCTTACCTGTACCAGGTGTGTCCTGGGAGTCCCATGGGAATCTCCTTTTTAACTTTTGCCCAGTTTATTTGTAGGGCAGGCTGGGTCAAGCTCACAGCCGGTGATTCTCTTGCTTTCTCATTTTAATTAACATTTTGATGGAAATGGGTTGGGGGGCGTGGGAAAGGATGCTGAAATGCAGCCTGCATGAAAGACTCCCCCTCCTGGCAGGTGACCCTCTAGACTCAAAAGTCTAAGTCCTAATATGATAATTTTTCTCCCCTAGTGTGACTTGTCATTTTAATTCACTTTCTCCTCTCAGGTTTCTTTCTTTCTTTTTTTAAAAAAAGATTTATTTATTTATGCATACAAGAACTGGGGTACAGGCCAGAGGTATGTGTGTGGGGGTGAAAGGATTCACCAGAGACAAAGTGGGGAGCAGAGCAGGTGAGACAGGAGAGGTCTCCTGCGCCATGTGGGTAGCTCCCTGGCCGGGGATTGAACTTGTGCAGCAGAGGATGTGGACAGCTTCATAGGCTGTGTCTAAGCCCTTGCACCACCAGGAAGACCCCCCCTCTCAGGTTTTTGACCCTCCATATCATGCCTCGATATTGTCTGCTTTCCTTTCAGCAAAGTGAGTTGAATTCCTTCTTGTGGACCATAAAGCGAGACCCACCCTCTTACTTCTTTGGTACGATCCACGTTCCCTACACGCGGGTTTGGGACTTCATCCCGGACAATTCCAAGGAGGCTTTTCAGCAGAGCAGCATTGTGTATTTTGAGCTGGACCTCACCGACCCCTACACTATCTCGGCCCTCACCAGCTGTCAGATGCTGCCGCAGGGGGAGAACCTGCAGGACGTGCTTCCCAGGGACATCTACTGCCGCCTCAAGCGCCACCTGGAGTACGTGAAGCTCATGATGCCCTCGTGGATGACCCCGGACCAGCGCGGTAAGGGCCTCTATGCCGACTACCTCTTCAATGCCATCGCGGGGAACTGGGAGCGGAAGAGGCCCATCTGGGTGATGCTCATGGTCAACTCCCTGACCGAGGTGGACATTAAGTCCCGTGGGGTGCCCGTCTTAGACCTGTACCTCGCCCAGGAGGCCGAGAGGTTGAGGAAACAGACGGGGGCGGTGGAAAAGGTGGAAGAGCAGTGCCATCCGCTCAACGGGCTCAATTTTTCACAGGTAAGACCCTCCTTGCTTGACTTGGTGGCATTTGACTGCGTGGGTGAATCTACTGGAGGACATGTAGGAGGTGGACGAGCAGCACAGTTTATCTAAAAATTGTCTTTGTTCAAGAATGTTATTCTGGGAATTAAAAAAATCAGTCCATGAATTGCCAAGTCCCATCATGATTTTACTTTAAGTAATATCTCACAAACAGAATCAATGCTATTTTGAAAACTATATGAATTTATTAGAAAAACTATCTGAATGTACTAGGTCACAGACAATATACATGTACAAATATGTACACACACAACTGCTTAAAAACCCACTTATCTAAAGTAGATATAACTACTTATTGGTCAGGTTTTATGGACCTAATATATTGCCAAATATCAACAATAGAAGGGGTGAAACAACAAATCTGAGAATGATTTAATTTTTACCTGTAGGTAATTCTACAGAAGTTTGCTTATTTTTTTTAAAGATTTATTTATTTATGCATACAAGAACTGGGGTACAGGCCAGAGGTGCGAGGGGTGAGAGGATTCACCAGAGACAGAGTGGGGAACAAAACAGGTAGATTGCCTGAAATACACTGTGGAGGGGAGCAGTGGGCTAGTCAGGAGAGTTCTGCTGCGCCATGTGGATTGTTCCCTGGCGGGGATTGAACTCGTACTGCAGTGGCTGCGGTAAGCTTAATAGGTTGCCTCTTAACCCCTTGCGCCACCAGGGAGACCCAAAGTTTGTTTATTTTTGTTTAAACTACATGCCTAATAAGCTATGAAACCAAAGCATATGTGGTCTGTAAGGTGGCATAGGATGAAAATACAAAACGTTTCAATAAGAAAGAAAGTGAATTTAATGTTCAGTAATTGAGAGTTCATGGTGATTTCATAGAATTTAACAATAACAAATAATGGTTGTTGACTGTAAATTGAAACCCCATAGTCCATGGCCTGTCTGGCTTTCACATTGTCCCATCCTCTCAAAGCAGCCTCTTAAAGAATGACCTGATTAAACTGAGTAACAAAAGCATGTAATACATGTTGGGACGATAAGAAAAACAAGTTTTCTTTATTTCATCACATACTTTTAGGGTTCCTATAGGTATTTAATATCTTCAAACTAACTTTCTTATAAGGCCTTGAAGTTAAGCTAATAAAGTTGAAATTGTTTATATTTAAAATAAAACATTATATGATTTATTCCTGAGCCTCTTTTTTTTTTTTTTTTTTTTTTTTAAAGATTTATTTATTTATTTATACAAGCACTGGGTACAGTCAGAAGCGCGGGAGGGTGAGAGAATTCACCAGAGCCAGAGCAGGGAGCAGAGCAGGCAGAAGGACCGAAGTACACTGCTGAGGGGAGCAGTGGGTGGCAGGAGAGGTCTGTGCGCCATGTGGGACCCTCCTCTGGTGGCCAGGGAGCAGCTGGGGATCGAACTGGCGCTGCAGAGGCTGCGGGCAGCTTCCCAACCCAGCGCTCAACCGCTGTGCCACCGGGGAGGCCCCTGAGCCTCTTGTTTAAGTGTAACTCCCCCCAAGATTCATTTATAGAGATAAATAGTAAAATGCTCATAACCTTCGTGTGCAGCTCAGTGATGTTTACCATATGCATATGTATGTATGCATGCATATCCATATAACCACCACCCAGGCTAAGATGTTGCACTTTTCATTTCCATCACCCCAAAAGTTAGTATAAAGTTTTCATACATACACACACACACACACACACACACACACAGCACCTGTGAATTTTCACAAACACAGCCATGTGCCCAGCACCGAGAGCAGGAAACAGAATAGCACTGGCCCCTCCAGCAGCTTCCTGGCTCCCCAGCCCTGGGGATAACCATTGTCCTGAAAATCTTTGAGCATAAATTAGTTTGTGTTCTAGGACTTCAAATAAGTGCAGTTACCCAGTATGCCCCTTTAGTGCTTGTCTTTTTACCTTAACGTTATGTTTGTGATTCACCCAGCCTGCTATGTGAATTGCAGAATTTCATCTGAGTTAGTGGGGTGGTGGTGGGTGGAATGTCCCTTTTCAGTGGGGTGAGTTTAACAAGATCATTTGTGCTTGTTTTGATAGAAGTTGAGCCCTGGGACCCTTTCTATTCTTGCCCATTTGAGAAGCAGCTGGTTCCTGCCTCCTTGTTCTGTGGAGCTCTTGCAGAAGGATGCCAGTGGTGTCTGACTAGTGAGATGGAGGAAAGGCCAGGCCCCACAGGCTCTGGAACCCACCTTCCTTGCTAGTTGCAGGGAAGAGGCAGAGGGCAGAGGCATGGGCAGCTCACCTGGGAGGAGCCCAGCCGCCTGCAATCCGGAGCACCCCACCCACCTCTTAGGCAGCTGGAGACTGAGGCACAGCTGAGGCTGAATTGCTGTGCTAGTAGTAGAAACCAGTGGCAGATGACCTGGGCATAGAATCCTTGTGCTGCCATTTCCCAGTGTGTGACTTTGAGACATTCACTGAATGTCTCTGAACTTGTCTTCTCATCTTTCAAATGAATTGTCAGGGCAAAAAACCCCCAGTAAATTGGAAACCATTTCATAAACACTATACAGGTGGAAGGGATAGAGAACTAACATACAGTGTCTTCTATGAGCTAAGCCTCATTGGTAATTTACATTTAATTCTAGAATTTTACAAGGTGGGCAGTATCATTTATGTTTTAGAGATGAGGAACTGAGGCTCAATGAGCTTAAGAACCTTGCCCATGACCACTAGCTAACACATGAAGGGATCTGGATTTGATCCCACATATGATGAATTAGGTCGTGGTGATTTTGAGTTTGCAAGATGTTGTGGTCGTCAGTGTGTGACCCTGGAATTTTGCAGCCAATGGTTCTGGACTTCTGTTGTCCATTTCATTAGCTATTGGCCACATGAGGCTGGGTGTAAAGCTCTTGAATTTTTAATTCAATTTAATTATAATTGAAGTTTAAAAACAAACTTGATTCATTTATTGGTAAACTTTCTTTTTGGGATTTGCTTCAAATATGTTTTATTCTTTTTTTTTTATTGGAAAATTTTTAAGGTTATTTGGAACAACTCAGGCCTGTGAATCTCTTTTTTGAATTACGAATTTTATGAAACTGAACTACAGATCAAGTATTTCTAGTGGAATTTTAGTTTCCAAACTGAGATGTGATGCGAGTTAGAAATGCATGACACATTTAAAAAATTTTATGAAAAAAGAACTTACAATAAATCATGAATAATTTTTTATATTGACTACATGTTGACATGATAATATTTTGCATGTTTGGGGTTATGTAAAAAAATATATATATAAAAGTTCAATTGTATATCTTTCTTTTCTTCTTTTAAAAGATTTATTTATTTATACGTATAAGAGCTGGGGTGTGGGCCAGAGGTGCGGGGGTGTGGTGAGAAGATTCACTAGAGACAGAGTGGGGAGCACAACAGGCAGATCTACTGAAATGCGCTGCTGAAGGGAACAGAAGGGAGACAAGAGAGGTCTGCTGCATCATGTGGATTACCTCCCTGGCCAGGGATCAAACTCGTGCTGTGGAGGCTGCCTCCAGCTTCACAGGTTGCGTCTTAACCCCTTGTACCACCAGGCAGGCCCTGGCTCCCTTTTTGGTATAAGAGGTCTGCGTCTGCTTTTCTCCATTGACTGTCCATGTCTCTTTATTTTTAGCATGTCAACAGTGTGCGCGCGCACGCACACGCACACACACACACACACACACACATTCTGTTTCTGGATTTTCCATTTTGTTTCATTGATCTGCTTACCTACTTATGTATCAATACCACATCCTTCATGACTGTCACTTTATGCTACATTTTAAATATTTGCCTATATTGTCACTTTCCTTAATGAGTCTTAAAATCATTGTGATAATGATTAATTTTTAGATCAACTTGGGAAGAACTGATGTTTTTCCTCAATCCAGGAATGTCACCCTTTTGATTTATTTTTATCTGAATCTTTTTTACTTTGTAGAATTTTTGATCTAGATTTTGCTCAATTCATAAATGTATTCATAATTTATAACATACATTTTGCTGTGTAAAGACCCTTTTGTCATTATTTTCTATCTGGTTACTAATTTTTATATATTCGTTTAACCATTTAGTGGAAAGATGTTAATTGAATATATATTCTAACAATGTTGGTTGATTCTCTTGCTTTCCTAGTGACTAAACATATCATTGATAAATATTTTGTCTTCACTTTCCTTCATCGTCTCATTTGTTTTTCTTGTTCTAATGTGTTGGTTGGTTAGAATAGCACTAAATAGTAGTGGTAATAAAAGGCGTCCTTCCTTTCCCTAACTTGAATGAGAATACCTGTGATATTTCATTAAGTATGATGCTGGTAATTGGTTTGTCTTTATAATAGGAATAGAATTTTTTTGAATTTCTGTTTTACTAGCAGTTATAACAGAAGCAGTTTTTGCTATTAGTGGAAATAGTTGTTGAGTTTTAATCAGATCTTTTTTTCCCTCTTTTTCTCTTGGGTTTTGATGTCTTGAACTTATGGCTTTCTTCATTTGCCCTCCATCCATAGAGTTCTCAGTATTAAAACACCCCTGCCTGGCTGACCTTTGACTTCTAACTAGGATTAGGGTGTGAGCTCACCAAGAGCGGGCCTCTGGAGTCATTCATTCCCATGTTCATTTAATGAACACACCCATTGAAAAGGTGTCATGTGCCCTCAGAACCTGAAGTCTTTATAATCCTGGCGATCAGCTTCTCCAGTGCAGGACCATTTTATTCCCCATTGTTTCCGCAGGACTTGATGCCCTCTCAGGAGACAGTACTCAGTAAGCCTCTGTGGGGTAAGTGATGGTGTCTGTAACTGCCTGCTGAGGGAGCAGAAGATATGATCTTAGAGAAGCTTTCTCTCTGATCTAGATTTCTCATAATTCCATGATTTTGCCCCACTTCTCTCCCTCTCTTTCCTCCTCCCCTTCATTACCTGGTTACTAATTCTTCCCTTCAGCTATCTTGATTTGATTTAAGGGAAATAGATTTGATCC